TATACAACTGCAAGCAGAATTCTGTACTCCTCCTCAGTCTCACTGATAAGTGATGACTGGCCAATTATACGTTGTATAGCTCAGCGATTCTTCAAGGCGTGAATCAGCGCGCTTATTCTTGTTCTGTCCACAATTTCACAATACTTCAGCGCGTGCTTGTATGAGAGATCGCGAGACCTCCACAGCCACAGAACATACTTAAGCTGCTTCACCGTTGGTCCAGTCGGCATGACTACCAACTGAGCCAGGCGTTCACCAAGTCGCCGAGCTACATCCTCCTTGGTCCCACTCACACGAAGTCCTTCCGTGCGTAGGCCCTCTTTTATACTTTCCACTGTCATCAAACCACATGTATCTGTACATACACGCAGAATTTCACCTGCATGATCTGCTTGCTCGCTCCCTGAAGACATAGCCGGGGAACTTCTTGGTATTGTGGGTACTCTTGGGCTTGGTGTCCTTTGTCGATCTCGCATAGAGCTGAAGTCTTCTGTACTTTGCTGACCTCGCATCCTATTGAAAGACATACTGGTAGATGAACTCGGCTCCTCCTGGTCCAAGCGTCTCTCCACCTCCACTGCTGCCTGACCCATTGTCCCCTGCTGCGAACTCCTCATACGGGATGAGCTCATTGATGACGAACTTCTGTCTGGAATAGATTCCAGCGGCTGTAACCTCTCCATTTCTCGCTCAATAGCCGCTGTTGTAGCTGCCTGTAATTTCTGCAATCTCCGAAGTCTCCTCGCGTTAGCTCCTGGAGTCCACTCATTGCAGATTTCTATGGCTAGCCACCGAATCCCTTCCCAGATCAACATCATACCCAGGAGCATCAGCATGATCATAAGGAACCCTGCCGCATCCTGATCAACCTGTATTCCTCCACCATGGCCCGTCCGCCCCTGGGTTTGCTCCGGTCCTGTAGCCTGCACAGAAACCATCAATAGACAGCAAATTACTGCCACAAGGATCCTGCTGCTCACTTCAGGAGCTGACCTCCTGGTAGTAGGTGCGCCTGTATGCTCGCCCACTCCCCAGAGCTCCAACAAGAATAGCATGCGAACAGAACTGAGCGCTTTTGTTAATAAATCAGCTGGTTGTTGTTCTCCCGGGCAATGTACTGTTGTGAATGCTCCATACGCTATCTGCTCACTCAGCCAGCTTGCTTTTATTTTTAGATGCCGAGTCCTCCAAGAACTCGATCCTCCAGTAATTGACAGGGCTGCTGTGCTATCTGAAGCGATGACTTTCTCTTCGACGGAAACGTTCATATCGCCCAGTAAAGCTTCAATTCCCTTCATTGCTATACCCCCATCGATCATGGCCAACAGTTCCGCCTCCGCTGTAGAAAGTGTGACCATCTGTTGGCGCCCACTACGCCACATAATGGGTGTGCCGGCGTATGTCACAACCCATCCACTGTGCGATTTTCCACCTTGCGGCGCAAACGCCGCATCACAGAACATCTTCAAACTGTTCGAAGTCGCCCTCACTTTGAGCTGAAACTTTGACGTTCGTTGCACATACCCCAGAGTTTTCATCCCTATTTCTATAGCTTGCTTGGGGTTTCGTAGGCATAGTGACGCCATCATCGCCGTTGTGTAACTCAAATCGGGTCGGCTTCTTTGTGCTAGCCAAAGAATTTCCCCCGTTAGCTGCTGGGCCATATGTATATCATGTGGCTCCACCTCGGTTGCAATCTCCCTTTCCGCCACCATCTCCTTTGTAACTGGTACTTTATCCAGTACTTGGGTTGGGACTGCGTGAAGTCGTAGTAGCTCTTGAATGTAGCCTTGCTGTCCCACCCCAATTTCATTTGGGTGATCCTCGTCCACATGAAGTTCCATGCCCAAGAACCGAATGGATGTACCTGGGGTTAAATACGTTGGATCCGAAGTTTCCCATATCTGTCTGACCCACTTAGCAATCTGCTTCACCACATCTGTAGGTCCACATATGAGAAAATCATCGACATAAACCAGAATGATTGCCGATATCTCTCCAGTATCACTGATGACCTTCCACCAACTTGTAGCTGCACTCCCTTGACGAAGTCGTAGTCCCGTAGGTGGGTCCGTGGTCCTCAGCACATGATCCCTGTAGTCGCCCCACAGTGCTGGCGACTGTCTCAGCCCGTACAGGGCCCTGATCAGTCCCCACAATTCCAACTTCTCCACCAGGCCTAAAGCTTCCAATAGCCTGGGTGGCTGGACAATAATGACAGGGTCGTTCTTCGATCGTCCCATCGGGGTCCTCAGGAACGCAGCGACCACATCTAGCACCGCCACAGCCCAACCTCGCTCGACAGATAAGGTCAGGCCTGCTCTTACTGCCTCCGCGGGGGCAGCCTCAGTATAAACAGATGCCCCATCTTCAGCTGCCATGTTCCCACACACCACCAACCGCGCCTTACGTTTGTACCACGTTGCTGGTATGTTAATATCAGCTTTGTCATTGGGTTTCACTGTAAATACAAATTTGGTTGGCAGTCTTTGTACACCTGGTAAATTCAACCAGCGCTTCCTGCTTTCGGAGCCCGGTAGAAGACGGTCGATGGCAACCTCAATCGACTTGAGCTCTTTTTCTATGGCTGGTTTCCACAGCTCCATCCTGGGAAACACTTCTGCTGGATTGACTGTATGGGTCACGTCCAGGGGTCCAGCTAATCCTTCTAGCACCTGCTCAATATTCTGTGTGTAGACGACCTCAGTCTTGCACATAGCTGGAACCCTTTCCTCACTGGCCAAGGCATCCGCAACCTTTGCCAATCCCGAGTTCAGGTCCAGATACATCTCCCACTCAGACCCTTGCTGTACATCTTCGATCTGAATGTTCATACTCATCTGCTGCACCTTGATAGGTATACTTTCACCCTCCTCATTCTCGTAGAATTCTGGAAGCTGTGATAGCGGTATAGGGAAACCAAAGTCATGTAACTTTGCAACATCTGCTTGATTCAGCTTGCCCAGGCATTGAGGAGAATACGCAATAAGGACTATACGATCTCCTTCCCAATCGCAGACCTCATGAGCGCTTCTTGGACTGAATCGGAGGCCCTCCCCTTGTACCAGTGGCAGCTTATGTCCATATATTGCTCGGTCCCCATGATTGCGCTGTTCCACAACTCCTTGTACACAATCTCCATGACGTAACTCGATCCAGACTTCTCCTCCTCGTTCAGGAACTTGAACTGGGACCACATAGTTGTACGTCCTTGGATCATTGTTCACATCCTTGTGCAATTGCTTCTTATTGTTGTAGGATACCAACATGGAGGTAAATGCAGCATCCGGATAACTTTCCAACACCAGCTTCGCCAAAACCTTAACCAGATGTGGAAACTCATCAATACCCTTCATCCATCCCACTGCTCCTCCATGTCTGAACACTCCAAACTTTCTGTGCTCAAAGAAGTGTCCCTTGGCCAACTTTGTAACAAGCAATTGTGCTTGCTCCACATCCCACGATGACAGGACCTGCTCAGCGGTCACCGTTGCCAGCTTCATGATATCCTCCTCCTCGAGAATAGCCGCCCGCATCTCCACGTGCTCGATTGACGACTTCTCCTTCAACCTCCTCCTAGGTTTAGGGATCTCTGCCCTAAGCTCCAGATCAGGTCCTCCCGGCTCCACCAGGTTGGCCCTGACATGCATCGTATGAAAAAACTTCTCCTTTTCATCTCCAGTGGGGGGCACGTACACGAGGTGTCCATGATGTAAAATTGTGCTCAACCCAGCGTACTTGCCTTGTATCCACTTTGACTCCATGGCTTGCTCTCTCCTCAACGGACCACTCTTGTCGAAAGCCTTCTTTCTTATGTGCACAGTCGCCCCAAAGGGGGCTGCCAATAGACTTTTCCAACCCAAGACCTTGGCTCGTTGCTGTGCGGCTGCAGCCGATGCCGCTGCCGGCCAAAGTTTCGCCGGAAGCATCGCGCTCCTCAAAAGAGTGCGGGTCCGATCCTTAATCCAGCGCACCGTTGTCTCGGCCTGAGCGTTTGTTTGCGGCACTCCCGGTTCTGACCACGTACCCATGATACCACGCTCGCGCAGCCAAGATCTGAAGTGGTGGTTATAGAATTCGCCCTTATCGGCGTGGAAGCTGTAGATCGGAAATCCGTGGCCCTCGAGGTAGAACACCACGTCCTGTAAAGCTTGCTTAACTGTACCCGATTGGTTGTTTTGCATACCAATCGCGAAAGTCAAATACGTAAGGTCTGGTGGTACGCAATCCCCAAACTGCATAACCTGATCGGTTGCTCCAGCATCTGGCTCTGTCTCCTCCTCTTCCTTGGAAACAGCATCTTCTTCTGGTAGCGACGGCTCATATTCCTCCACGTCACTTGGCAACTCGGCCAGGTCCTTGTTCAGAACTTCCGGAACCCGATGTACCTCCACTTCCTCCGCATCTGCTTCCTCAGCTTCCACTGGCTTGTTCTCAAATAAATCCTCGAACCCATCTTCTGCATCTTGCGTGGTGCCAGGCTCTTCCTCTTCACCATGTTTTTCTGGGGTGTCCCGGCCAGTGTACAGCTTCAGGTAGTCTTTAGGAACGAGATTCTTCCCCATTGTCCCTTTTGACGTTGGGTCCAGCCCTTTTGCTATAGGACCTGCCACATCTGCTGTTAGCACATACGCTTCAGGATGATGGACTCGACGGTGCTGAGCTCCTGTACCTCTCGAGGTTACGCAAGTAGCGCACTCCTTTTTGTACACCTCATGGTTGCTGTTGATGTGCTCCTTCCATTGTGCAGGCGTCATCACCCTCAATCTCGGTGTACTATGGGGCTCTCTGGCCCAGAAGCTCAAGGCCACCACCATTGCTTCCACCAATCCCTGCGACCAAACATAGTCTTGAGGGTGAGTCTCAGGAAGATGTGACCCTTCTGGAATTCGTATCTCGTCAAGGGCCAGCAAATTGTTGACATTTGTACCAATGGTAGTTGGGTTTCTTGACGATCCACCCATTGCACCTTGATCAAAGGAAACCTTGTGCAACGACTTTTCACGCTCATAGCCCTTCCATAACCGAGTGTCCCAGAAGCAGTTGCTAGCATCCATAGTAGGTGCTCCTGTATACAGCTCCAATCGCGGTCTCTGAACATGTTCCCAGAGCCATCTTGTATAATACCAAGAAGCCACCTCTGCTCTGTATTCTGGGTCGCAAACTTCAGCTTCACGGGCCGCGATCAAGTCCTCGCGGTGTCTTCTTTCCTCAGCTGTGACACCCTCGGGATATTCCAAGATGAAGCCCACCTCTCTGGCCTTAGACCTCGGGGTCCCATTGACTTCCCTGCCAAGCTGTGCAACTGCGTGTAACCACATCATCCTAGCAACCAGCCGCATACTTTTAACATCACGCTCTCCTCCTCGGCCAGTTTGCTGCGACCTTGATGGCGGTCCACCCATCACAACATCAATCTTCCCTTCTTTTGCTCCCCACAGAAGCATCCGCCAAACTTCGCTCCTCAATATGTCCAGACCGGGTGATCTAGCCACGTCCAGCTCAAGCACGGTGACATCGCCCTGATCCAGCTTCATCACTTCCCAATGGCCCTCTTTTCCCGCAAACAAGTGTACCACCCATCTCTTGGCTTGGTGAATCTTTCTCCTCTGAGCCCTGGTAAAACAGCCGAGCTCCTTCATAATATCCCAGCCACTCCAGATGCTTTCAATTGGCACCAGTCCCGATAAACATTCACCAGGTAGGTCCGCAAAGAAGGGTGCATCTCGTGCTGCTCGGAGTCCTGACTCAAAAGATCCGGTTTGCACATAGTCCATCAGGTAGTAATCCCAGCTTCGGTCCATTGCCAGCGCTGACACCTGCAACTTGTCCTTTGTAGTGACTGTGGCGTTATTCAGTCCTTCTAATCTTCGATCCTCCAGTCTAGCTATAAGCGATAGCGCCTCCAACTCACACAGCTGAGGGCATCCGCTTTCCATCTGTAACTGTACTCGCTCCCCCTCTGGGGACTCCATGTAACATGAATCTTTGCTCCACACCATCGTATAGCCCAGGGTTTGTATCAGCTGCCCCATAGGTACTATCGTTTGAGTTGTAGCTGCATCTGTATCCCCAGGTCCAGTGCCCAGTGGCTTATACGGCATCAGCAAAGTCCCAGCTTCTGTAATTCTCATCATCAACTTGTGATTTCCAGCCAGCTGTACAGCCACTTCGGCTGCATCTAACCACTCCTCCTCGGATCGCGCAGTCCTAAGACTATGCGTGGCACCGCTGTCCACCAAGGCTGTTGTAGAAGCATTTGCTCTGCAGACTCTTATATCTCGAAGCCGCAATGTACGAACCCAGCGCTTGTTTTCTCAGGCGATGATTCGCCACTGTGCTCCGCCGGCTGCGGCTGTACCACCTGCTGGGCTGCTTGGATTAAGGTTTCCAACGTCCAAGGCGTTCCCCGAATAGTATCCACACTGGAAACTGTTGTTGTAGGCGTCGGGGTCATTGTCGACATTGTAGCCTTCGCAGAACCCGTAGCTGTAGCATCACCATCCTTAGGGCTGCGTTGATCTTTGCCGCCAGCCGCTGAGGACTCTTTTGCTCTTGGCTTTCCAGCTGTACAGTCGCGCTGCCTGTGAGCTTCAGACCCACATTTCAAACATTTTTTCGAACGGGTTTCTTTATCCATCCCCAGCATACTATGCGAGAAAGTACACTTCTCCCCACGGCGGCATCCAGTAGGCTTCGCGAAGTATCTGCAGAGATCTGCAGCCATTGCACCTTTTCCCGCTGCATCTTTAGCTTTCGGGGGCAACGAAGCATCCACCGCCTTCAGCTTGGGATTCGCCACCATCATACCAGCTCTTCCTGTAGCCATAGCTTCCAGCTCAGCTTGTAGGTGCTTCTGGTAGGACATGACTTGCTCCACCGTGGGCCGCGCGTCTAAGCGCAGGCTTGTACGCAGCATTGACGTACGGAAACTCGCATCCGCGGACTCATTGATAAACTT